GTTATGGCCATTTTAAAGTTTTTATTAATTCAACCCTATAAAAGTGATCACAAATAATAGCTAAAAACGCCGAAATCACAATATTTAAGGAGTTATGGCCATTTAAAGTTTTTATAAATTCACTCTTATAAAAGTGATCACAAATAATAGCTAAAAACGCCGAAAACTCAATATTTAAGGAGTTATGGCCATTTAAAAGTTTTTATTAATTCAACCCTATAAAAGTGATCACAAATAATAGCTAAAAACGCCGAGAACTCAATATTTAAGGAGTTATGGCCATTTTAGAGTTTTTATTAATTCACTCGTATAAAAGTGATCACAAATAATAGCTAAAAACGCCGAAAACTCAATATTTAAGGAGTTATGGCCATTTTAAAGTTTTTATTAATTCAACCCTATAATAGTGATCACAAATAATAGCTAAAATCTCAATATTTAAGGAGTTATGGCCATTTTAAAGTTTTTATTAATTCAACCCTATAAAAGTGATCACAAATAATAGCTAAAACCGCCGAAAACTCAATATTTAAGGAGTTCTGGTCATTTTAAAGTTTTTATTAATTCACTCTTATAAAAGTGATCACAAATAATAGCTAAAAACGCCGACAACTCAATATTTAAGGAGTTATGGCCATTTTAAAGTTTTTATTAATTCAACCCTATAAAAGTGATCACAAATAATAGCTAAAAACGCCGAAATCACAATATTTAAGGAGTTATGGCCATTTAAAGTTTTTATAAATTCACTCTTATAAAAGTGATCACAAATAATAGCTAAAAACGCCGAAAACTCAATATTTAGGGAGTTATGGCCATTTAAAAGTTTTTATTAATTCAACCCTATAAAAGTGATCACAAATAATAGCTAAAAACGCCGAGAACTCAATATTTAAGGAGTTATGGCCATTTTAAAGTTTTTATTAATTCACCGCTATAAAAGTGATCACAAATAATAGCTAAAAACGCCGAAATCACAATATTTAAGTAGTTATGGCCATTTTAGAGTTTTTATTAATTCACTCGTATAAAAGTGATCACAAATAATAGCTAAAAACGCCGAAAACTCAATATTTAAGGAGTTATGGCCATTTTAAAGTTTTTATTAATTCAACCCTATAATAGTGATCACAAATAATAGCTAAAATCTCAATATTTAAGGAGTTATGGCCATTTTAAAGTTTTTATTAATTCAACCCTATAAAAGTGATCACAAATAATAGCTAAAAACGCCGAAAACTCAATATTTAAGGAGTTATGGCCATTTTAGAGTTTTTATTAATTCAACCCTATAATAGTGATCACAAATAATAGCTAAAAACTCAATATTTACGGAGTTATGGCCATTTTAAAGTTTTTATTAATTCAACCCTATAAAAGTGATCACAAATAATAGCTAAAAACGCCGAAAACTCAATATTTAAGGAGTTATGGCCATTTTAGAGTTTTTATTAATTCAACCCTATAATAGTGATCACAAATAATAGCTAAAAACTCAATATTTACGGAGTTATGGCCATTTTAAAGTTTTTATTAATTCAACCCTATAAAAGTGATCACAAATAATAGCTAAAAACGCCGAAAACTCAATATTTAAGGAGTTATGGCCATTTTAGAGTTTTTATTAATTCAACCCTATAATAGTGATCACAAATAATAGCTAAAAACTCAATATTTAAGGAGTTATGGCCATTTTAAAGTTTTTATTAATTCACTCGTATAAAAGTGATCACAAATAATAGCTAAAAACGCCGAAAACTCAATATTTAAGGAGTTATGGCCATTTTAAAGTTTTTATAAATTCACCGCTATAAAAGTGATCACAAATAATAGCTAAAAACGCCGAAAACTCAATATTTAAGGAGTTATAGCCATTTTAAAGTTTTTATTAATTCAACCCTATAAAAGTGATCACAAATAATAGCTTAAAACGCCAAAAACTCAATATTTAAGGAGTTATGACCATTTTAAAGTTTTTATTAATTCACTCTTATAAAAGTGATCACAAATAATAGCTAAAAACGCCGAAAACTCAATATTGAAGGAGTTATGGCCATTTTAAAGTTTTTATTAATTCAACCCTATAAAAGTGATCACAAATAATAGCTAAAAACGCCGAAAACTCAATATTTAAGGAGTTATGGCCATTTTAGAGTTTTTATTAATTCAACCCTATAATAGTGATCACAAATAATAGCTAAAAACGCCGAAAACTCAATATTTAAGGAGTTATGGCCATTTTAAAGTTTTTATTAATTCAACCCTATAAAAGTGATCACAAATAATAGCTAAAAACGCCGAGAACTCAATATTTAAGGAGTTATGGCCATTTTAAAGTTTTTATAAATTCACCGCTATAAAAGTGATCACAAATAATAGCTAAAAACGCCGAAAACTCAATATTTAATGAGTTATGGCCATTTTAAAGTTTTTATTAATTCACCCTTGTAAAAGTGATCACAAATAATAGCTAAAAACGCCGAAAACTAAATATTTAAGGAGTTATGGCCATTTTAAAGTTTTTATTAATTCAACCCTATAAAAGTGATCACAAATAATAGCTAAAAACGCCGAAAACTCAATATTTAAGAAGTTATGGCCATTTTAAAGTTTTTATTAATTCACTCTTATAAAAGTGATCACAAATAATAGCTAAAAACGCCGAAATCACAATATTTAAGGAGTTATGGCCATTTTAAAGTTTTTATTAATTCACTCTTATAAAAGTGATCACAAATAATAGCTAAAAACGGCGAAAACTCAATATTTAAGGAGTTATGGCCATTTTAAAGTTTTTATTAATTCACTCTTATAAAAGTGATCACAAATAATAGCTAAAAACGCCGAAATCACAATATTTAAGGAGTTATGGCCATTTTAAAGTTTTTATAAATTCACTCTTATAAAAGTGATCACAAATAATAGCTAAAAACGCCGAGAACTCAATATTTAAAGAGTTATGGCCATTTTAAAGTTTTTATAAATTCACCGCTATAAAAGTGATCACAAATAATAGCTAAAAACGCCGAAAACTCAATATTTAAGGAGTTGTGGCCATTTTAAAGTTTTTATTAATTCACTCTTATAAAAGTGATCACAAATAATAGCTAAAAACGCCGAAAACTCAATATTTAAGGAGTTATGGCCATTTTAAAGTTTTTATAAATTCACCGCTATAAAAGTGATCACAAATAATAGCTAAAAACGCCGAAAACTCAATATTTAAGGAGTTGTGGCCATTTTAAAGTTTTTATTAATTCACTCTTATAAAAGTGATCACAAATAGTAGCTAAAAACGCCGAAATCACAATATTTAAGGAGTTATGGCCATTTTAAAGTTTTTATTAATTCAACCCTATAAAAGTGATCACAAATATTAGCTAAAAACGCCGAGAACTCAATATTTAAAGAGTTATGGCCATTTTAAAGTTTTTATAAATTCACCGCTATAAAAGTGATCACAAATAATAGCTAAAAACGCCGAAAACTCAATATTTAAGGAGTTGTGGCCATTTTAAAGTTTTTATTAATTCACTCTTATAAAAGTGATCACAAATAATAGCTAAAAACGCCGAAAACTCAATATTTAAGGAGTTATGGCCATTTTAAAGTTTTTATTAATTCACCCTTGTAAAAGTGATCACAAATAATAGCAAAACACCGAAAACTCAATATTTAAGGAGTTATGGCCATTTTAAAGTTTTTATTAATTCGTGCTTAAAAAAGTGATCACAAATAATAGCTAAAAACGTCGAAAACTCAATATTTAAGAGTTATGGGCATTTTAAAGTTTTTATAAATTCGTACTTAAAAAAGTGATCACAAATAATAGCTAAAAACGCCGAAAACTCAATATTTAAGGAGTTATGGCCATTTTAAAGAAAACTCAATATTTAAGGAGTTATTGGCATTTTAAAGTTTTTATTAATTCGTGCTTAAAAAAGTGATCACAACTAATATCTAAAAACGCCGAAAACTCAATATTTAAGGAGTTATGGGCATTTTAAAGTTTTTATTAATTGAATATTTAGGGAGTTATGGGCATTTTAAAGTTTTTGTTAACTCGTGCTTAAAAAAGTGATTACAAATAATAGCTAAAAACGCCGAAAACTCAATATTTAAGGAGTTATGGGCATTTTAAAGTTTTTCTTAATTCGTGCTTAAAAAATTGATCACAAATATTAGCTAAAAACGCCGAAAACTCAATATTTAAGAAGTTATGGGCATTCTAAGTTTTTATTAATTCACTCTTATAAAAGTGATCACAACTAATAGCTAAAAACGCCGAAAACTCAATATTTAAGGAGTTATGGGCATTTTAAAGTTTTTATTAATTCACTCTTATAAAAGCGATCACAAATAATAGCTAAAAACGCCGAAAGCTCAATATTTAAGGAGTTTTTATTAGTTCACCCACAAATCGAGGAACTTCAATCGACTCCCAAAGCTATAATTGACTAAGGTTATAATTTTACTAAACTAACGTATTGTGAGAACACTAGGGTTTTATTTTTTACATTTCTAAAAGACAACAATCCTGTGTATCTACCTATATCGGCAATGTTTTACCGACTACAGAAGAGCACACGCATTCCATGTTTATCACATCCAGTGCTGATGTGGTCGGAATCGACGGGATATACACGTTAGGGACTACTATTTTTATTTGCACAACTCACTGCTACTTGGTATTCGTAGATACTTGCTCGCTGAGGCCTTAGGTGTGATTTTGAGGAGTTCGATACAAGCGATCCGTTCAATATAAAAGTGAAATATGTGACGTGGATTTGCAAAAGTTTAGATCGTTTTTAGTGGCCTACAAAGAAACGAAAGTAGTAACTCTTTGTCCTGAAAAAGAATATTCCGAATTTGGCTGCTTCATTCAAAATGTCTATTTGCGGACAAGATTATCAAAAATGTTCAACTACAAACATAATACATATAATTACACATAAAATTATTTAAAACCATGTTCGATAAGTGCACTTTAAATACAGTAATACAATTCCCACAGCTCTATTTATTTTCAACATTTAAGTTTTTTTTTCTTTACAAAATACTATAAACTAGATAGTTATACTCAACACTAACTTCTGCATTAACATATGAAATAATGCAACAGGCTACGACTGTTACACTTTTCTTCAAACCAAATATTTCACGAAAACGCCGATGACACATTGCTCAAGACTCACTTGTCCTTCTTTCCGTATGTCATCACCACACCAGTAATCAGGGCCACAACTGTAAAGCCTTGAGCAGCAATACGTGCTCTCATCATCATTTGGGACATTCTACGATTCCCCGTACGGAAGTTATACAGGCCATAACCCAAGGCACACGCTGTAGCTATACATCCTATAATAGAGAACGGGTGGATGACGATATGTGCATATTTGCAATTATTTTCTTATATAAGTAAATTTCATGGCTGCTTTACCGATTGGTACCAAGGGATTTTCCTTAATCTTGCGCATCATCTTCTCTTTGGTTGACTCCGGGAACACAGGCCCAGATTCAATGCGCATTTGTATCCAATCCAATTCCTCATCGGGTAATTGCACTTTTTCGGGTGTTTGGGAGCTCATTTTGCCGTGTTTTTATGTTTTGTTTTCCTTCTTTCTGGTGAAATATGAAATGTAGTGTTGGAAAACGTATTTTTATTTGGTCTGGAATGTTATGAAAACGATAAATATTAAAGCCGTGTTATAAAAATGACGGCGTTTGCTTTCTAAGTATGTTTATAAAAGGCGTGTTTTATTTGACAATGCAGTAAAAATATAAAGAGGGAATAATTACAAGAACACACAACTTTAAAGTTGTAAGTACATAAGAAGCTTGCAGTCATGGCTAGGCATATTTTATGACATTTCATAAAGGGACAACAGACCCGTCGTTTTCCATTATAATTTGACATTAATATGCCTAGCCTTTACTTCAAGCTTTTTGTGTACTTGCACCTTAAGGGGCACTATACAACAACTCAGAGAAAGTATCCTTACGGTTTTTTCTAAGTTTACGCCAAAAAAAAATTAAATAAAAGTAACCCGTCTTCCTAAAGCAGCACTAAAACAAGTGTATGCATTGAAGCAATGTAGTTGTTGTGGACAAAAAATCCATCACTACAAAAACAAAACGTTGCTGTGAAAAAGATCTGCCAATAGAACTTGAGTCGAACCTGGAGAATTTCTAGTGTATAATTCGCATATACTAATTTGCAATAAGTTCGAAATATATACTACTTTCCAGAGAACGGCCCTTGTAAGCCATCATCCACATCAAATATGCCTGATGAGCCGCTTAACCAACGGCGAAACGCGTCGCATAGTGGTGAGTGTGTGATAGTGTCTATCTGGCTTTCCTTTTCACTGCAAATTTCAGATCATTAAGCTCGTCTCGAAAGAGAAAACAAACACTTAAATCATAAAACATATGATCTTCGCCTTAATAAGGCAAAACTCAAAAATTCAGCCGAGCCTGGCTGTGGGATTTGAACCGCGGACCTCTGTGTGCAGCCAACTAGAAGTTGCCGTCTCTACGTTCAGAGCCATTAACCCGTCTTCCTAAAGCAGCACTAAAACAAGTGTATGCATTGAAGCAATGTAGTTGTTGTGGACAAAAAATCCATCACTACAAAAACAAAACGTTGCTGTGAAAAAGATCTGCCAATAGAACTTGAGTCGAACCTGGAGAATTTCTAGTGTATAATTCGCATATACTAATTTGCAATTAGTTCGAAATATATACTACTTTCCAGAGAACGGCCCTTGTAAGCCATCATCCACATCAAATATGCCTGATGAGCCGCTTAACCAACGGCGAAACGCGTCGCATAGTGGTGAGTGTGTGATAGTGTCTATCTGGCTTTCCTTTTCACTGCAAATTTCAGATCATTAAGCTCGTCTCGAAAGAGAAAACAAACACTTCGAACGTTCCCACGCCTCACATTCCCACCCCTGCCGACCGAGGGGGCGACCTCCCTTTACGGAGGGATCGCGTACACATCATGATCCGCATCATAATGGGAATTCAGTAGGAAATTTAAAACCAGCTACAGAATTTAATTCATCAGCTAGTTTGTCAAATAATAACACATGTATGTTAATTGTTTAAAAATAAAATTATTCTAGATTTAATAACTTCTAAACTCATACCAAAATCTACATTACAGTACACAGAATTAAAGTCAACACACATTTTACTAAGAGGTTCGCCCATTGAATAATTCGTGCGGTGAAAATCAGTATATAATAATTGGTAGTATCTACTAGATCTAAACGGAACATTAATTCTAATAGATGAAATCAGAAAATCTGAGGGTATATTACCATTTAATATTTTTAGTACAAACATGGAGTTCAACATAATACGTCTGCTTTTAAGTGTAGGCAATCTAATTAATTTTAGCCTGCTAGCATAAGAAGGCAAAACAAAATCACTATTCCAATGTAAACCTCGTAAGGCAAATAGCAGAAATTGTTTTTGCACGGATTCTATTTTATCTGAGTATATTGCATATTGGGGATCCCATACAACAGAACCGTATTCCAATATAGGTCTAACAAGAGACGTAAATAACTGTTTTGTTATATATGGATCAGAAAAATCTTTGGCCCACCGTTTAACAAAACCTAAAACACCATTTGCTTTATTTACCATTGTTATTACATGGCTATTAAAATTTAATTTTGGATCCATCAAGAGGCCAAGATCAACAAATGAATCTACAGTTGATAATGAATGACCGTCAATATTATATTTTAATATCAGAGAAGAAGATCTGGAGAAGCACATATGCTTACATTTGCTTAAATTTAACTCCATACAATTTAACGTGCACCATTTAAAAAGGCTATCTAAATCGTTTTGAAGTAAACTCGCTCGTTTATCACAATTATGGGAAATGAATAATTTAACATCATCTGCGTACATTAACAATTTCGAGTAATTTATGGAATTAGGTAAATCGTTGATAAATAAAAGAAAGAGGACCGGTCCAAGGTGACTTCCTTGCGGAACACCCGATGGAACGTTAATCGTTTTGGATAGATACCCTTCAAACAAAACTAGTTGTGATCTATTTTGTAAGTAAGATGATATCCATTTGACTAAGTTTGTGTTGAAACCCATATAATTTAATTTATATATTAGGAGTTCATGGTTAACCCTATCAAAAGCTTTACTAAAATCGGTATAAATTGTATCAGTTTGTTTACGCTGAACAAATCCTTTTATTACTGTTGACGTAAATTCTATAAGATTTGTTGTAGTTGAAAGACCACTACGAAAACCATGCTGATATGGACTCAATATAGATTGAATTTTCTGTGAAATTACTGCAGTAATTAATTTTTCAAACAATTTTGGTATGGCACTTAATTTTGCAATTCCTCTATAATTTGACACATTAGTAAGACTACCAGACTTATGTAAAGGTATAATATAAGATTTTTTCCAAAAAGTAGGAAAGTGACCAAATTTAAGTGAATAATTAAACAATATAGTTAACGGAAGTGCTAATGTTTCTGAACAATATTTAAGAATTATATTAGGTATGCCATCCGGTCCTGGACATTTAATCGATTTTAAACTACGCAGACTATTGGACACATCATGACGTTGTAGAAAAGGCATACAAATTTGATCAGCCTGTGATAACTTATAAGGATACGAATCTTTAATTTGGCAAGATGTACTAGAATAGGTTGTGGCAAAAAAATCTGCGAAACATTCAGCAATATCTGTGCCTGTGACAAATTCTTTATTGTTATATTTCAATACTGAGGGCTTTGAGGAAACTTTTCGTTTTAGATTAACAAAATCATAAAAAGATTTAGGATTGGATTTAACATTATTTTTAATCTTTTCGAAAATTAGTTTTTTTGTAATTAAGGACAGTTTTAAATGAGTCGGACTGACTTTCTTCAATTACATAACTGTGAGTCATGGAGATATATAAAGTTGGATGGTATATATCTTCAGGAGTGCATATTGGAGGAATTCTGAATATATCAAAATGCTGTGTTATATTTACAAACGCCAAATCAAGAATTTTGCCATGCGAATTTTTTACACTGTTTATTTGATAAAGATTTAAGTCACACAAACTATTTACAACATCAAATGTATACTGGGTACTGTTCATTTCAGATGGCAAAGGAATCAAAGCTTCAGAATCTGGCATTGGAAACCATTTAATGGAGGGCATATTAAAATCACCAAGGATCAGAATGCGATCGGAATCTTTCATTTTTTCAGTAATTAAATTTATTTCTGATAAATGCTGATTATAAATGTCAAGTGAAGATGAGGGGGGAATATAAGAGCAAGTTACAAACAATTTAGATTTGCCCAATTCAATGGAAACACAAACAAATTCTATATCAAGAAAATCATTTAGATCAATTAAATTAGTGGTATATTTGGTATCAACTGCAATAAGGACGCCACCACCTTTTTTACAAACACGATCTTTTCTAAATATTTGATATTTTGAACATAATATTTCACTATTTAATATAGATGTTTTTAACCAAGTTTCGGAGAAAACCAATACATTATAATTGAAACCAATGCTATCAGTATATAAACTGGTTAATTTTGTCTTAAGCCCCCTTACATTCTGATAGCAGATAGAAAATGAGTCATTTAGTTTTTTGGCACCGAGTCTGGTCTAAGAGGCAAATGAGCTAAATTATCGGATCTCTCCACAAATTCTTTAATAAATGCCCTAGCAGGCCAAAATTCTTTTAAAATCAACTGTACAAAAATATTGTCAGGCACAACGATTTTGAAAGAAGATCTACTTTCAGAAAATGCAGATCGGAGCTTATAACATTTCAAAAAGTAATCTCCCTCAATTTTTGATTTTATATAATAGTTTATGTCATCGGCCGTTGTTTCTGGTGCAAACCTTGTTGCAAATATCATTTTCATGGCGGGGGCCATCGATAATGATCTTTGGACAGGTTGAGTTTTGCCAGTAGCAGTCTCGGGACGATCACTAGTGATAAGTGAAGGAAATGATAATTCCTGTATGTCACGAGTAGATTGTGAGGTTTTCTTAGAAACCTCACTATCAATATTCATAACATCAGGATTAATTACCCCTTTACCTATACCGCTGTTATCTACCGGAACTGGGTGTGTAATAACACTGGCATACGACTGTTCACGTCCATTCTCAGTTGTATCAGTGATATTAACTGAGACCGGTTGTGGAACAGTGTTCTCAACAGAAACTATTGCTTTGCGACTAGGCATTCCCTTAGTTGGTGCCTTTTTCGCAGCCCTTTTGCGTTTCTGTCCAGAAACTGACGGTGACGACACAAACTCATCTAACTCTTGGTATTTCTCAAACAATGTAGAGAAATTCTCAAATCGGAGTGATAATGAGGAAAAATCTTTTTTCATCGATGTCAATTCCGACTGCAAATCCTTTACAAAATTATAAAAGTCTGCAGAGAGTTTCCTGCATTGCACACAACACCAACGAACACCAACATTATTTCTAATTGTGTCTACTACTTTTGCATTAATCCTAGCACATTTTGCATGCCATTGATTAAGACAAAACCAACAGGTAACACACAATTCATCCTCAGCAACAATATTACACAATTCAAAAGGGCACGACATTTTCTTTATTTTAATTATAACTATTTCTTTTTTAATACACAAGTTCCAAATATTTTATTTAAGATTAGATCTGTAGCTGGAATTTTTGTTATTTATATTTATTCTTTTTTATTTATTTTTTTTTTAAATGTTGGCAACTCTTTTGAGATGACAAACAAAACAAGACGATAATGTTACAACAACTAATTAGCTAATGTAACAAAAGAAAGAGGATAAAAGGAAAATGTAAAACTACACAATTTTAAAATTGATATAACTTTAAAACACAAAACAAGATTTTAAAACACTACACCAATTATCACTTTGAGTTACAAATCACTATTGAACACTTTTAAACACTTTTTTACCAGATTAATTAATTTAATAACACAATAACTATTAATTTTTTTTCAAAAGCACGGAGCACCACAATTTTTTGAACTAATCACAACAGGGTTGCCAACAAACACTTAAATCATAAAACATATGATCTTCGCCTTAATAAGGCAAAACTCAAAAGTTTTTTTATCAAGATAAATGGAAAAAGACAAATTTTGTGTGCCAAGGAAGGCCGAAAATAATAGATTACGGAGATATTTCACGTAATACCGAAATATTATATGTATTCAAATAATTTTAATTTGAAAAATGACAAAATCGAGTTCGTTAGAATAGGGTTGCCATTTTCGATTTAGCAAATAAGTTTACATCTATTTTTTGTAGTAAAATAGATAGAAGAATACAGGTAGATGCATCAACTCTTGGGAACACTGATATGTCAACAATTTTAAAATGTTCTTTTCAATATAAGTAGATTTTTATACGACGACAATTGGAGGTAAATATGGTAAACGTTTTTTTTAACAATTTTTACAAATTTGAATAATTTTTCATTCAAAAATGTCAGTTCCAAAATTGGTTTGACAGTTCATTGTCCCAGCAGCTGTTTCAATGCGACTACCGGTATTCTTCTACCATGGTAGTAATAATGCCAGGAGTTTTAAGCTATAAGCAATATTAGTCTACAAGTTTTCCGCATGGACTAATTTTTCCTTGAGCATTTTTTGTTCAATTGTCGAAGGACAGACCTAAAGTATTTGCCTAAAAGCAAGTATTTCAAATTTGGTGAAAATATCTTGCTTTAGTTCCCATTTATGTGTTTCTTTCCAAAACAATGATATATGGCAATAGGTATCTCATACAACGCAGAAATACCTCTGCCTATTTAGGCCTATTTAGAAATAAAATGGAATCAGGTAGTTGTTTTACCTTAGGGTGTCCCATGATAGGCGTCGCCCGACTTTTGACAATTCTTTACTGTTTTTTTTATGGAAAATGTTCACTCAACAAATGTAAACGCATCATTTACACGACAGTTACTACATTCACCATACAATACGTCGTCCACTAACTTCGCCCATTGGCATCACGTAGCATCTCTGTTTATAATAAATACAACACTGTTTCTCCTAATGCCAACGATTGGCAATGCTACGTTTATTCGTGTGCTTTCGGTTTTTGTGAAAAAATTTCGTTTTCGTCTCGCTGAAGAAAAATTTAACAAATTTTTACATTACGTGTCATTGTTAAACAAAATAATCTGCACTAAAATGTAATATTTGCCATGGAGAATACATGATCTATAAAATATCGCAAAAAGTACAGTGTTTTACACAAAAATAAGTGCATGTGAACAATTCGAGGAAAACATTTTTTGCTGGTTCGTGCCGCTAGTTATGTACATATATTCGTTTGTGTGTTTGTTGTAATATTGTGTGTTCAGAAAGGAAGAAAAAAAAAAAACGAGGAGAAACAAATAATGATGAACAACGTAATAGCATAGCCAAACAACATTATTAACAAGAAAACGACGTGTAGGAAACAGAATACAAAAAAGAAAACGCCAGCAGAAGCAGCAAACGCTGTGGGAAAAATACAAAATAATTTGTATTGCTTTAATTTGTATGGGGATGCATGTATGGCGCGCTACATGGGACAAATTGACAAAATAGTTCACAAAATCTTTGAATGAAATAATCAAATCAAGTAAAAAGTATAATCTTAACTCCGATACAAATTTGCTGTACGAGATAGAAATATAAAAACAACAATAATTACTGGAGAGTGATCGGCGGCAGCGGCAATCACATCAACAAAAACCAAAACCGGTAATCAGAGATTGTGTGAGCGATAGAGGGAGAGAGAGCCTGACGGTGGTGACAACAGTACAGAAATTGATTAAAACAAATTTTAAAACGCGACCTTTGTTTTTTTCCTTCTAACTTGGCCAGCAAGACGAACCGTAAAAAACCAGAACACGACAAAGTTAATCAAGTGTAAGTGTACCCCAGATTAAAGAGTTGTTCGGATTATTGTTTTTGTTGGTGTTCTCTGTTACAATTTTAGAAATGTGATTACATTTTGGCCACAATGAAAAATGCGCGCGCGACCACGTTAGCCATATTGACGCAGGCCAGAGCGATGGAACGCGTTACTTGCTTCTGCCTTAACAAACTCCATCCACTTTTGTTTGTACATTTCGCTTTATTTCTTTAGCATTTAGTCGGTGGAATACGTTTAGTGTTGTTGTTGTTGTACAAGTGTCGATGTGTATTTGCGCGAAATATGCTGTATTCGAGTGATCCACATTGACTGCTTTGCTTTTTTGGGGGGGCTTTTACTTGGCGTTTCCGCGTATTGGTGTTTAAATGTTTGCGCGTTCAATCTACAATGTTGTTGGGTTTTGCAGTGTGGTGTATTTGACTTTTGTGGTGTGTGTGCGTGTTTAGCTGTGCATGGTTGTGTTTAGTGCTCCATCATCATCTCCTCGTTCAAAAGCCGCGCCACATCACTTAGCCATGCGTTGTGTTTTTGCTTCTGAAGAGTGTGGGTTTTATTTTTCAAACTAAAATCTAAACTTTTTGGTTTCGAATGAATGATTTATTGTTGGATGTCGTCCCATCCTTTACAAGCGATTTGAAAATATTCCCGGTCATTTTGTGTCTTCTGTATTGATTTCTTTTGTACCTATCTTGCGTTTGTGTATCTTGATCGATTGAAATTCCCACATTTGTGTGTTGGTCGGTCGTTATTGTTTCAATTTGAAACAACAAATACACCACAGTGAAATTTTCTATACCTGCGTTAACCCTGAAGAAATATTGATTTGTCCCTATTGACTTCTAATAGGTTTTTGAATTGATATTCAGGTACATTTTTGTTGCATTGCTTTGAAATCATTAGTGGCTGTTATGTTGAATATGAAGAAGTAATGGTTATATTGTGTTTACAGCACTAAAAGCGTATTCCGCTATTAGTTTCCATACTACACATGTTTACAATATTTTAGAGTAGTAGTAACTTCTAATTTTTTTTACGATGAATGGGATTTTAGTTTGTTAATTGAGAACGTCCGATCGTAGGTGCGTCTGATTCATATCTTGTATCAAAGTTTGAAAAATGCTAGCATAAATCTTAACCATTTGCTGTCGAGACATTTTTATACCCTCCACTATTCTATGGAGGGTATATTAGCTTTGCCATTCCGTTTGTAACTCCTCGAAATATTTATAATGGACCCTACAAAGTATATATATTCAGGATCAGCGTAAAATTCTGAGACGGTCTAGCGAAGTCCGTATGTTTGTCTGTTGTCCTTCCGATATTCGGTATTTTTCATGATTTTAACGACATTATTTACCGAAATTATTTGAAAATTCGTATTTGAAGTTTGCAATGGGTACTACAGCATATGACAAACATTTTTGTATGCCGGCGCACGTCTTCGAATAGCCCCCATTTAACGGAATCTCCCGATATTCGGTATTTTGATGATTTCAGCGACTTGATTCACTGGAACGTTTCAGAATTCGTATTGGGAGATCTTAATGGTTACTACAACCTATGGAATAAAATTTCGTATGCAGGTCCACGTTTTCGTATGGCCCAGATATAACGGTACCTCTCGATATTCGGTATTTTCATGATTTTAGCGACAGTATTTACCGCAATTATTTCAAATTTCGTATTTGAAGTTCGTAATGGGTGCTGTAGCCTATGACAAAATTTTTTGTATTCAGGTACACGTCTTCGTATAGCCCCCCATATGACGGCACCTCCCAATACTTCGTACTTTTATGATTTGTGCGACATTATTCACCGGAATTGTAACAAATTTCGTATTTAAAGTTCGCTATGGGTACTACAGTCTATGACAAAAAAAAAATCGAATGCAGGTCCACGTCTTCGTATAGCCCCCTTATAACGGTACCTCCCGATTTTCGGTATTTTAATAATTTTAGGGACATTATTCACCGGAATTGTTCGTATTTGAAGTTCGTAATGGGAACTACAGCCTATGACAAAAAATTTACTTACCAAACAACCTACCAACCCAATACTGTCGCAAAGGGAAATATACAAATCTTGGTTCAGTAAAATTTTGCAATAACTATAAAAACGTATGTTTTACTTGAAGCTCGGACCAAAAAATACAGGCCACAGACCCGAACCTACTATATCGATTTAGATAATATATGAATATACCTTTCCAACAAGGGGTCGCATATGGTAGCATTTGAAGATAATTTCGTATACCGATGACGTAGTAAAGCGGATAAGTTGTAGATCTCTTCCAACTACTTCAAACCTACTGCCAAGTGCACTAGCACAACTGTCTCCTTGGCCTCTTGATAATGATCTGGGAGTAAACAATAAAAAGAGTGAACTTTACAGAAAAGGCCATAAACTTCGATACGATCTTTAGAACGAATATCGAGGAGCGTACAAAAAGGAACGCTAGAGGGAAGAGCTGGGGTCCGTCCTTTTCCGATCTATGGGTTCCTCGTCTGGTGACATGCGATTAAGTCCAGGGCTCTCATGTCGAAATGAACCTCAGTGCAGAGAGCCACGCGCTTACTGACAATCGGAGCTCTCAAAAACACTCCCCAATCTGCATTAAATGTGCTTAGTATTTTTGCTAATTTTCAAGGATCAAGGAGTGCGCTGAGACTACGGGAAGCTGGAATCCAGGATCCACTTTAATTACATTGACCCGATACCCAATATGGGCGCCTCATGGTGAACCTCCTTTGGACGGTCTGGCCATTTACACAGACAGTTCCATTATGAATGATGACACCTATTTTGGCATATTCTGCATCAACCCAATGACTAAACACTCACATTCTTGCAATTAAGAAGACAGTCGAAATGATAAGAGAATTCTGCAATAACATAAAAGGCCCAGTGACTATACATGTCAAGTGAAGTGGCATTAAAGCGAGAGCCATTCTTGAATGCAAGAGCAATTCTTGACTCCAGTACATAGCAACATAGTGGGTAATTAAGAAGGCTAATGAATTAGTTCAAGGTGGCTCCCAGTAGATTGATCTATGGATCATCTGCTTCAAAAAGTCTGTTGTCGAAGATGTAAGCAGTGACTACCTCCAGTGTACATGCCCACAATTAAACCAAAGTTTTTCCAAGCATAATTTGTTTTACATTCCGCCATTTTCTTGTCCATTGACAATACCTCGAAATATTCGTTGGAAATTCTAAAGCATTAAAGGAATGGCATAGGTGTTTCTAATACTCCCAAGATTTATAACGGAACCACTTGTTTTTCGGTATTTTGAAGCCTTTTGGTCCCAATTTCTAACCAAATCGCTGTTTTTTTGATATTTTGTTGTCTAATTATATTTCATTGTCTTGTCCCAACCTTATAAGAATTTCCAAACTCTAGTTATTTTTTATTTGTTATATTTAAATTTTTTCGCCAAATAAGATTTAACTGTCGAGGGCAACCTTGTCGCACAGCCGGTATTGGAATGTGTTGTAAGATTGATGGCGGCCTCTTCCTTTAAGGAATTAATTTTCTGAATAGAATCTTTCGCATAACTTCTGGTTTAATAGTCTTAAGGTCAAAATTTCAAAAAGTATATTCTTAATATTGAAAATATACTACATCTTTGGTATTAGGACAGCCAGAGCTAGAACCCATTAAGAACTACAAATAACAATTTTTAGACAAATTCGTGGAAAATTTGGCAAAAATCAACAAAACACCGAATATCGGGAGGTACCGTTATATGGGGACTGTACAAAATCGTGGACCTATACATAAAATGTTCCACCACCGGAGCTAGTACCAATTATGACCTACAAATACCAATTTTTAGACAAATTCGTGGAATAATGTGGCAAAATACCGAATATATGTAGATACCGTTATATGGGGCCTATACGAAAACGTGGACGCATACTTACTATGTTCCGCCATCGGACCTAGAATCCATTATTATCTACAAATGTCAATTTTTAGACAAATCCGTGAAAAAATGGGTCGAAAATCATCAAAATACCTAATATTGGGAGGTACCGTTATATGGCGACGATACCAAAATGGACTGATATATCTCAATTTCAATACCAACTATCCTAGGCACAACACGAATTGTTGTGCCAAATTTTGAAGCTCTATGTCAAATAATGTGGGCTGTATCGTGATTTCAACAGATACACATACGGACATCTTTCAATTGACTCAGCATTTTATGATAATCCTGAAAATAAAGACTTATGGGGTCTACGGGGGTTAATAAACCCTTCTTTTTTGGGTGTAGGGTATAAAAAAAACAAATATCGTTGGCACAATGACCTCCAAATTATTTCCCGATGTACATTTTCTTTTCATTTCGTACAGGAATAGTGCTTTTCTTTCAATATACCTATACCCTCGATATAGCATGCAAACACTTAAATACCATCAAAGGAATCTTTTGCTACTTTTAAATGTTAGTATTACAATAGAAATGGCACAGCCCATTTGGCCATTGAAGAGAACTCGGTCACAAAAGCAACAAACAAATATAAACAAAAGTTCGTTGAACGTGAAAAATTGTTATTGGTTTTTTGGCGTAAATGTTGCAGCCATTTCAATGAAAGTATTCAATCGTGTGTGTGTGTGTGTGTTTATATTTTTGTCAACTTACATTCAATGTAAGAATATTTGGCAATAACCAAACCCAAGTTACGAAGTCAATCACCGGTACTTTAAAAATCACAATGTGTTGCATTAGAGTGGAGACATCATTAACTTTATGATTATTACCACTAATTATTGTGTTGATGTGTGTGTGTGTTGATGAACACACATTTCAAAAGTATTCGCACATGTTTACACATACATATGTACTTGGCAAATTTTACATGTACGAATTAATTATACACATAATTTGGGAATTGTTTTCGATTTGATTTTGCTTCGTGCACTCTAATTTCTTCCTCCCCTTAGAAGTTAAGTTGAAATGGAAAAATAGAAAGTATTGAATGTTTCTAACTTGAGACAAGTTTTAAAATATCCAAGGTATAGGACCGCAAAGCTCTGCAGGTTTCATAACTTTGCTGATACTTTATGAGATCCTCCTAGACAATATTGGTCCTGATTATACCTTCTTTTTATACCCTCCACCATATTAAGTTTTTCATTTCGTTTATATCACCTCGAAATATACATTTTTTACCCCACAAAGTATATAGGGTGAACTTAAAAAACTGCAACAAAGTCAAACGCCATAATTTTTACATTTTTTTTTATTTTATTGAGTGAAAGCAAAATAATGTCGAAAATAGCATCAAACTTCAGAATAAGTTTAGATATGTTCGAATTGGTCATCTTTGGCACGAATTATGGCCTTCAAACGGCCAATGAAACCGTCACACGCTGCCCGAATGTTGCTCTGCGGTATTTTGGCCCATTTCCGGCGAAGCGCCTGCTTGAGGTGATCGACACTTTGGTATTTTTTAGTGCCAACCTTGCTTTCCAAAATACTCCAGACACAATAGTTCAACGGATTGGTATCCGGAGATTTTGACGGCCATTGTGCGCTGGAAATGAAGCGAGGAACCTAATTTTCTAAACATTCTTGGGTGGCGCGTGCTGAGTGCGATGGTGCTAAGTCCTGTTGGAATGTCCAAGGTCTGCGGCCAATATGTTTGCGTGCCCAAGGCTTTAATACATACTCCAGAATATTTTCGCTATAATATTCGGCATTTATTCTGATGCCACGGTCGATTAATACGAGCAGAGAGCGTCCATCGGCTATTATGGCGGCCCACACCATCACCATGGTCACACAGCTGACCTCTTTGTCAAGTAAACACGATCATTTTGTTTGTTTACAAACTGCTGGACAATTATTGCGATATATTCAGCTCACGAGCCATTTTTCGGCCATTGCGACGCGGGTTTCTTTACTTCTTTACTTTTCGAACCATTTCTGCTGATGTTGCTGTTTTCTTCCGTCCAATTTCTTGTCGTCGGGCTACGCTACCAGTATCACGGTAACGAACGATGGTACGATGGTAGATTTATTCACATTTAAATGCTGGTGTGCTCTAACGATAATCACTTTTGGTTTTCCAGCCAAATATAAAGAAGTCACACTATCACGCTTGAATACCATCACGAATAACTTTTTTTCTGGAAAATTCTCACCACAACGCTTTTGTACGCTTGTAAACAATATATTGAGTTGTCAGTGGAATAATTCTAACAGCTGCCGGAGTGGCAGCAGTCTAATGTTGGTTGTAGTTCTTTCATCTCACCCTGTATGTTATCTCACGCATATTTCCACATTTTCCAAAAATTTGCACATATCTCATATAAAGTATAGGAAGTAGTCGATATTGTCCAAATCTGGCACGTTGTAATATTTATATATGTCCTAGGACTTGGTCAATATTGACCCATAAAGGGTCAACAATTTGAATAATTATAACTCAAGCCTGGGGTTATACATCTGTCGGCAAAACCGACTGATACTATTTCACTTGTCTTAGTTAGCTTTAAAAATTACTTAGTCTATATCTAATCCAAACCCAATGATCTTTTTTCTCCATCTTTTGCAGTTTTTATTTTATCGCAACTATACACACATTTAATTGAATGTCAAGATGAGTTACAATCAAAAACCGCCTGGATCTGGTGGCAGCGGCATGGGAGGTGGTAGTGGTAGCGGAGGCCCTCCCAATGGCCCCAATAATATGCCACAAGTAGCAAAAACATTTGCAGGCATTCAACAACAAATGCAAAATTTAGTTCATGGCCAAAATCCTTTGCCACAGTCTTCGCAGGCTGACTTGAATGCATTTTTCCAACAACAACGCATACAGAACATGTTGAAGCAACAACATCAGTTTTTGCAATTTCAACAGCAAATGCAGCAGCAACAACAGCAACACCAACAACAACAGCAGCAGCAACATCACAATATGGGTGGTGTTGGTGGTGGGGTTCCGGTTGGTGGCGTTCCTCTAGGGGGAGGCGGTGGAGGTTCTAGTTCTGGCGGAGGTGGCGAACCTTTGGCATTAACACGTACTCCTGGTGCCGCCGAACTGTTAAACAAAACCTATCAACAACAGGCGAATGGCAATCCAGCTGCAAATCCCACATTTAACCAGCTACAGCAGACATTGCAGGCGTTGCCAAGCAATTTTGTGCAACAATTACAAGCTTTCCAGTATCAAATGCAAGCTAAACAAATGCATCAACAACAGCATGGTGGAGTTAATCCTCAAGGTGGCTCACATTTGGGTCAACAACAAGTTATGCCACAGGGTGTGCCACCAACTCCCACTACGACGGCAATGTCACATCAGCAGCAGCAACAACAGCAGCAGAAACATCAACAACAGCAGAACGCTGCTGCACTGTCGACAGCAGCCGCTGTGCAGCAATTCCAACAGAGATATTTGTCAGCTGCTGTACAAGTAGCGGCGGCCAGCAATAATAAATTGGCTTCGGCAGCTCCACCACCGCCGCCTTTAACTAATCAGATGAAGACTCCAAATATACCAACAAACGCCCAAATTACACCAGTGTCAGGTGCCAATGTAGGAGGTGGCAGTTTAATAACACCACCGCCAACCAGCAGCTCTGGCTCACATCAAAAGGGGGGTGGTTCCGCCAATATGGGTCATACTTCTGGCATGAATAAACACCAAAATCCCCAAGCTCCCCCACCATCCATATCAATGACACCCTCAAAACCTCCTACCACGTCGGCGATGCCTAGTGCCGCGCATCAACAAAACAAATTCACACCACCCACAAATTTGGCGAATAAAAACACATCTGCCGCTCCACCTCCAGGGCATAACCAAAATTTGCAAAAGCCCTATGCTGGTGGCAGTGCACACAACAATGCGACTAGTCCAGCTAAACCGGGTTCTGCAACAAATGCAGATACAGGGGCTACAGGGGCTGCCCTAAAGTCACCACAGTCCACACCAGTGCAGTTGACCAAGCAAACGCCTGTGGCGGCCAATACAGCCAATGCAATGACCAATAAAGTGGGTAGCAACAGCACTACGTCGGCGTCTCCAACGACGGCCACTGTCACAACAACAGCATCGCCTCACAAAGTGACACCGACCACGCCAGCTAATATCACTGCTTCGATTGTAACAGCTCCACCTGTTCCACCTCAACAGACTAATACGATTCCTCCCAGTAGCAGTGCTTTAAAAACTCCGCCAGCAATACCCATAGCTACACCACCAACTGCAACGGGACCATCAACACCACAATTAACGGATGCGGCAAAACCAAATGTTTCTGAAAAAGAGCCACCAGTAAAAGAGCAAAGTAGCAGCAATAAAAATGTCGCAGAAGGGGTCAATTCAACACCAACACCAGTTGTTCCTGAAGGACAAGGAAAAGTTGCCGAAAAGCTTAGTGGAAGTAATAAAACAGAAACATCGGTAACCACCAAAGTTTCAGTGGCTGAAACAAAGAATGGATCCAAGACAGAAACACCAGTAGCTGAATCAAAAGCAACTGAATCCAAAACGGAGGAAGTAGAAGCGAAAGTATCAAAACCTGAAAAGCAAGCAGCCGAATCCACAAAGGAAATTGCTCCCAAGAATGTTCTAGCGGATCAGCCTAAGCATGTGGAAACTAAACAACAAGAGAAAGTTGTGCCAGAACAAACTGCTACTGAAGCTTCAAAGAAAACAGAAAACACAAAAGTAGTTGAAGAAGCCAAAACGGATAAACAAAACGATTCGCCGAAACCTCTTGAGAATAAAGCAAATGTTGAGTCGAAACCCGAAGAAAAGAAAGGGGATAGTAACGAGAAATCAAACACCACTACAAAAGAAGCAAAAGTATCACCCATACCCCAAAAATCGGACAGCGTTGATGGTCAAACAAAATCCAAAACTATTTCGGAAACAGTTTTACCTGCCAATACTGAAACCAAATCCGTTGAAAAAGTGGAGGCAAAAGAAGCAAAGGCCCCAGAAAAGAAGACGGATAAAGAAGATGAAAATAAAACGAAAGCAAAGGAAACAAAAGAACACGTGGTAGAAGAGCAAGATAAAGAGAAAGTGACTCCCAAAAAGGTTGCTTGTGCAGCAGCAGAGAGCAATGAATCAATCGCTGCAGCTAAAGATGTTCCAAAAGAGCAGCAAACAAAGGCGATAGCACCCAAGAACGTTGCGAAGGACAAATCTAGTTCTCAGACAAAGAGCAACACGGCGACGTCAACAAATGCTAGTGAGACTACTCCTACAAAGGAATCAACAGATAGCAGCAAAACCACTTCCAGTTCGGCAGCTGTTACATCAACTTCAGTTGAAACTTCCACGCCAGTCAAAAAACAAACTCGTGCCCCGAAGTCAACCGTCAAAACAAAGACACCTTCCACAGCAGCCACCAGCAGCACCACTAGTGAAAATAAATCCATTGAAAAGCCGACAGAAGAAAAACTGACGCCAGCCAGACCTAAACGTAAATCAAAAGCACCCGAACCCCAGGTGTCCGATTCTGCTCCATCAACGCCTAAAGATGATGATTCAGATCGTAAATCAAAACGTCATCGTCTCAAGACAATTCTGTACCAAAGTCCACTTCCAGAACTGGCCTTCATTACCAAACTGTCGGCCAGCGAGGCCTCAAATTCACCCAAGCCTATGTCAAGTGAAGATCGTCTCATTGTTTTCTATAAGAATGAGTATATGGCGGTGCGCAATGCCGAAGGCACATTCTATTTGTGTCAGACCATGCAAAACGTTTATCGCACGTCACCACGCATTAGTATTCGCTGGCTGTCTGAAGATCCCAAGGACAGCAATGTATATATTCCAGATTTTTATGATCACACCGATATTGAATGTGTGCTAACAACAGTCGAACTGAAGCGCATTGATAAAGGTCATATGCGTTTGCCGAAGTCGGAAAGAACGCGCATTGAGAGTATATTGAAGAAGGCAATTGATGTGGAAAAGGGTATAGTGCCAAGACCCGAGTTGACGGAAGAAAATCCCGATGGACGTAAGTATTTGTTGAATGCAGTTGTGCAGGTTTGCTTATAATTGATTCTAATGTTGTTTTTGTTTTTAGTTGATATTTCCCTATTCAAAGATGAATCTCAAATCGAAAAGAAATCATCCCAGGTTGATGGTGAAAGTGGAAATCCATCTGGTGCGGGTGGTGGTAAAAAGTCCCGAAAAGGAGGCAGTTCATCAACGTTAGCAAAAGCACCTGCGTCGCAAACACCTTCGACCAAAACCAATGCAAATAAAAGAAAGAGAAGTGTTGGGGCAACATCATCGTCGGGTTCACGCAAATCGCCAGCGAAGAAAAGGAAAACTTTAACCAAACGTAAAAAGAAGAGGACAAATCACAGCGACGATGAAGATGATGAGGAAAGTTCAGATGATTATGAATCTGATGCAGAATATAAACCAACACAAAAGCGTACCACGGTTCAAGCGAGTGCAACAAAGGCGACGCCAAGAGCACAAAGATCACCTTTGGCCAAGGCCAGAGCTGCATCGCCCATTACGCCTACAACATCTAGATCTAGAAATGTACCTCAAAAAGTGAGTATCTAGGAAATAATGTTATACAAACATATTGTTATGAATATATCTGTTTTTATAGACCACATCTCCCACACCTACACCATCCCCATCGACATCAAAGGCTACCCGAGGTGAGCGAGCAGCCAAAAGGAAATCTCTTACAGATGCTGGCTCCTCCGAAGAATCCTCAACACCAGCTAAAAAACCAGCAACCTCAATTAATAATACAAAATCATCTTCTACAAAATCCAAGAGTAAGTCGAAGAAGTGAGACACTGGAAACTCCACAGAAAGAGGCGATATAGTTTAATCACTTAAAAAATCATGTCATGGGTCTCCATATATTTGTAACATCAATTGTCATTTTCAACATGCATATATCTGCCCTAGAGAAACTATAGGAAATTCTATGAATATCAATTGAATACTTTGGAGTTACCAAACTCATACCATCATACAAAACCTTCTCAATTTTCTAATGCTGCATTGGAATTATTGTTAATGATCATAATATTCACCCGCACACACTCCCACTAAGCAATTTTTTTTTTCAAATTTGTCATACATTTTATAACACATCATTCCATTGGACCACCATAAAACATTTTCATTTCGTATGCAATGCTATTTTTTTGTTTTTCACAATATGTGTGTGTGTAATATTTTCAGCAGATGAAAATATTTCGATGGAGGAATCCCAGCCTTCAAATAAATCCAACACTAACGAGTCAAACCCAACGACGGTATCGAATTCCAATTCAACAAGCTCCACAAAATCTGTCGCCACCGTTTCTTCATCTGCCAGTGGTAGTAATGGTGCTGCAACAACTCTGGGTGATAATGGTGGTACCGCTGGCAGTCTTAATCGGACTTCCCGAAGTCGAAAGTAAAACATGAAACAAAAACAATTAGAGATATTCACCAACTCAAAGGAAAATAAAATACACAAATTAAATGTAGAATGTATGATGAATTACTTAAAAAGGTAAACTCTATTAGGTTTAGTTGGTATTTTTAAGTTTCTATTTATGTTTTATTTTTATATATATTTGATATTCCCCTTGTCCTCCTCCTTTGTACGAAACCCAATCTATATTATATTTTAAAAGAATTTAGTTGTTAGTAGGACCCTAAAGCATAAAAACAAAACTCTTCCTTATACTTTGCCTTTTTCCAAAACTTATGAACAGTTTTCATTTTCAAATGCAAATTGACAACAAAATCTGTGTAATATTTCTCATAATTTAAGACAATGAATGATGATGATGAAGAAACCCTCTATGTGTACGACAATTAAGTGCGTATTTATATATATAATTATTACTATTTTTTCACTTGATTTGGATTTTTTAACAAAACATTGTAAATTTAAGCGGAATTTAATTTTTTTTATAATTTTTTATGTTAAAACGTGTTTTGTTGTGCATTTAATGTACAAGTAATAAATATATTGTTTAGTCTATGAAATTCATAAGAATGTACTATTTGTAACAATTTCAAAATATCTATACAAACTAAAAAATGGAAATCATTTTCAATATTTTAAATATTTTTGAGCATGCATGGATTAACGTTGTAAGGCAAACCCATAGTCTCTTTTGGAGATAACTTATCTGATAAAATGGAGTCTATGGGGTGTATGTGCAATATGATCCATAGTGTGTTGCCCAAAATTTCGATAATGATTAACCCAGTTAATGATTATTGAAGTTGCAGTTTTATTTTTATTACTCAGTGAAATATTCTATGTTTTTTTTTGCGCAAATCATGCAAAATCATTTTTTGTATATTTTATAATGATTTTCAATACAATTTTTTTCATATATATAATTGTAAATAAATTAAGTTCGGATATGTTGTAATTCGTCTCCTTTAAAAGTTCAATTGTTCGTGATTTCCATATTTTTTTGTATGTTTTTACTCAAACTTCTGGAAACCCAAACTCCATTGCCGATACACAAACTGTTTATAACCTCATTTTTTTCCAAAAAAAAAAAAAAAAAAGAAAAACAAAAAACATTTTACAAATGTAATAATTTCGTACAATTAATTCCCACGTGTGTTTGTTTATTTAAAATAACCCAACATACCAAAATGGCTTGAGAATAATATTACAATAAGCTTATGAACATAAGCCTTAAGCTTGAGAAAATCTTGAGAAAACATTGAAAAATGTTTGTGTAACAAGTATAGAATAATCGAAACGGAACCCTTATTTATAACCTTATACTTGAAATTGTAGAATAAGCTTACAAAAATAATATTAAAATAAGCTTATTTTTGTAATAGTATAAAATATTATTTTTTTAACTTTTAATCATTTTTCACATTTTTTTCTTGATGGACCTCCCAGTAATCACTGCCTCATGTGGCCTTGATACCCTGACGCTTTCTTCTCCCTTATTTGAACTTCTGCATCTCTTCCACTAAGACTACACATGTATTGAATTCCTGCAACTTTTTTGATGCTTCCAATCTGAAATGGGATTGGAATAATTTATGTGAAAGGTTCCCGGATTTAGTATTCATCCATACCTTAAGGGTTCGGTTCAGAAATGGGTCCTAAATTCGCGTGATTTGGTTTTCTTTTATGAAAGAAAACAATTTCTTGCTGACAATTTTCACAAAAAATTAAAAGTAATTTGTCAACAACCCAACATACCAAATTGACTTGAGAATAATATTTTAATAAGCTTACAAACATAAGCCTAAAGCTTGAGAAAATCTTGAGAATGTATTGAGAAATGTTTGTTTAACAATTATAGAATAATCGAAAAGGAACCCTTATTCATAAGCTTATTCTTGTAATTGCAGAATAAGCTTACGAAAGTAATATTTTATAAAGCTTATTTTTTCAATGGTAAAAAATATTTATTTATTCATTTTTTAATTATTTTACACATTTCATTCATTGATTGCCATCCCAGCTGTCACTGCATCCTGTTGCCTTGATACCTAGATGCTTTCTTTCCCCTTATTTGAGCTTCTGTATCTCCTCCACTTATTCTTCACTTCTGTTGAATTCCTGCAACTTTTTGACGCCTCCATTCTGAAATGAGATTGAAATAATTTATACTACAGATTCCCAGATTTATTATTCATCATTACCTTAGAGTTTCGTCCGGAAATGGGTCCTAAATTCGCGTGATTTTGATTTTAACCAAAGAAAATAATTTTTTGTTGACAATTTTCACAAAAAAAAATCAAAACAAATTTGTCAACAAAGGACAGATTTGAGAAAAGTTTGTGCAAAAAAGTGTTTCTCAAGCATTGTTGAAAAATTCTTATGATAAACTATTTTCATAATATTATTCTCAAGCTGTATTGTATTTTTGGTATGTTGGGAAAGGACAGATTTGAGAAATGTTTGTGGAACATAAGTGTTTCTCAAGCATTGTTGAAAAATTATATTTTTATAATATTGTTCTCAAGCTGTATTGTATTTTTGGTATGTTGGGAAAGAACAGAAAAAATCAGCAATTTTCCCCCTTTAGATTTTAAGCTTCTAACAAGATTATTGAAAGATAGTTGTAGAAATTTATATAAACTTCTTCCCCCTGCTGCTGCCACAATTACTTTTTGGCAATAATCAACATTTTAAGAACGAAATGCAAATATATAAAAAGAACAACAACAACAGTAATTCTCATGTATAAGTTTAAATATTGTCCCCCCCCTACCCCCTCTTAATTGCTATTCACTCACATATATGCAAGAACATGACATTTAACTTTAATCAATAACAAATAAATTAAAATATAATCAATTTTAAGATTAATAGATTTAATAATAATAATAACAACAACAAAAAGCAGAACAGATGAAAAATAACGTTCAAAATTAAAAATCTTTAAATATCTTAAGATTTTTAATTAAACAAAATTAACAATTTAAACATATTAAAATAAATAAATATAATAATAATAAAAACAAACAAAAAAACAGAACGGTGTGTTTTAACAAAAGTTTCTATGTTTTTGTGTGCATTAATTATTGGGATGGTCGGAGGTGATGTAGATACATATTTTATGGAGTAGCTTTTTTTAAAAATGGATAATAGATGGCAAATGAGAATAGTATCAGCATGAGGTTGAAATGCTTAAAAACTAATCCCAACAAAAAAATCTTGCTACAAACTAAATATTAATAGGAATACATTTGGCCTAGACTTTTGTAATACTCCTAGGATGTTTGGTATTATTAATGATCTTTAACGGTCCACATTTACGAATATAAAGGTTCCAACAGAATTGGCTGTAATGAGGCAATTTGTGCAGGCTCCACATTTACCCAAATAACAGTTCCAACAGAATTGGCTGTAATGTGGCAATTTGTGCAAGCTCTTCAATAACAATAGAAATCAATCAATCGGTAAAATTATTTCAAAATGAAGAAAATCCTTCAGAGAAAAAATTTCTTCAGTCTATCTAGAATATCCAAATCACCACACCACACTGTGGTCAGGGTATTATGTCTTTGTGCATTTGTTTGTAACATAGATAAGGAACCGAGTTAGACCCATAGTTCCTTTTGATGATCTGCATAGAATCTCATTCTGAGTCGATTTATTCATGTCTGTCCGTCTGTCCATGTATTTTTGTAAACAAAGTACAGGTCGCATTTATTGCCCGATCAAGATGAAATTTTGCACAATACATTTATTTGGTCCAAGGACAACCCTTATTGAAATTGGAGATAATCGGAATTTAGATATAGCTTCCATATATATATCTTCGCCCGATTTGCCTTTTATGGTGTAACGTTAGCCCAAATAGGAAGAATGAGCCTAGACACTCGTGTGTCCAATTTCCAAATACAGCTGAGAAACACATTTCCCAAATTTTCCCATATCTTTACTCGATCTCAAGTTTGTTTACCAAATGGTTAATATAAGCCCGAATTGAATGTATATTGACACATGCACGAACGAAATGTAGTCTGGAAGAAAGTGTAACAAAGTGGTGAAAATCAGTTAAGATATAGCTCTAGATCCCATATATATGTTTCATCCGATTTTGTATTTTACTCCCTCACACCCGTAAAACTCTCCACAAAAACAATATTTGGTATGAGCTATCAGATCGGTTCATATTTGGATATAGCTCTGATATATATCTTTATACGACTTCACGTTTATTGTGCCTAAAAATTGTAATATCAGCTCGAATAAGATGGATCTTGATGAATATCTGTTCAGGCACAAATGTCTCCATCAAATTTAGTAGAATATGACAAAAGCCTGCCATATGTTAGTTCCTTTCGGCTTTAAATTATATCTGCTTTAACATCATCATGGTATGTTTTAATTCTCATAAATTACCCATAAAAAAACATTTTTTTGTTATATGTAGCTCTACTATGTATGTACAGTGGTTTAGGGTATCATAAAGTCGGTCCAGCCCGGCTTTGGCGTTACTTCACTGGTTTTGTTTTGGCAGCGATTTCGTCGTTAGAGTTTATTGGCATAGGCATAGGACGAGATTACATTAATGTATTTGAATATATCCAATTTGAATGTAACCAATTTATATACCCTTATCCTCATGACTACAGAGTGTCTATATCACTTCATACAATCAAAATATGTCTCATCGAATAATCGTTTAACATCATAGGTCTATGGCGACGGTGATTGAAAAGAAGAATGAGATTTATTAACGGACCATATGTCGTATGGTCAAATTCGTTGCTTTGTTTTCGTTTCTTTCCAGAAAATGAACGGGCCATGGGAGCAATGCCTCGTTTGTTATAAACATCACCCACTCAAGCAGTGTAGCATGTTTAAGAAGATGGCTCAAAAGGACAGAGAATATGCGCCGAGGGCACATAAGTACTGTTTTACTTGCCTATCTCGGGATCATTTTGTACGTTTTTGCAACGCTTCCGGAAACTCCATCCAGAACAACGGCGAACCTCAAGTACCCAGTACCATCAGAAACCAAAGCAATCTAAGTACCCTCCCATTGCTAAGAGCACATCCAACAGGAATCAAACGCGGGGCAGAGTTAGCACCAATATCCAGCAACGGGGCAGCAACAAAAACCCACAGGCGCAAAATCAACAACAGTTAAGGGATCAAAGGCTACCGCAACACAACTCACAAAATCCAGGAGGTCAAACGCCATTGCTACACCGAAGGACGCCAAGGATAACAAGACCAAAAGCAGAGCCTAACGAGTCATCAGAAGTAGAGACAACTAAAAAGATTTTAAAAGAAATTGCAACTGAAATGAAGGTATTAGCTTCTGCCGTCAATGTTGCACACGTGCAAAGGGGGGAGCATGTCGAAGTCCAAGCCAAACCCCTCTCCACAACCGCAATCAGACCCCCCCTCTTCGATCCACGCCAATGGACCCCGATAATGAGAATGACTTGATAGACCTTGACCTCTAAACAGAAGGTGATCGAAGTTGTGTCGTCACTAGAAAAGTTAGTTGCTAAATAAAGGATCAACAACCAATAAACTTGTCGACGGACAATATTTCTTTTATTTAAAATGAAGTGACTTTTGTGCTATTTGAGTGAACATCACGTAAGTATATTTCGTATGCTTGTGGTGTCATTTTTGATGTGTATTAGTTGTTGCAGTTACCGCCAACAACCATTTTCAAGGTTCGTACAGTTTACACAGTTTACAGATCCTTCGTCATTGTGGAAGTCTGTACACGAACACTAGACAATTTTTTGCCCATCTGCGAACTTGACCAGCCTCCAGATAAAATACAGATATGTGCAAAATTTTAGCTTCCTATCTTCAGTCGTTTTCACTCTAGCGTGATTAAAACAGATGGACGAAAGGACAGGGCTAAATCGTGTTAGAATTTTACGATGATCAAGAATAAATGTTTATACCTTTTTATGTCTAAAATTAAAACGGAATGACGAGCTTAATATACCCTCCATACTATGTATGGTGGAGGGTATAAAAAACATATGGAAGTGTGTGATAGCAAGAATATTGAGTCGTATGTGAAATGACAACTTAGACGTACACACGAAATTACACATGTAAACCCCTAATCGTCTGATAGCAGCTTAAGGAAAACCCTTCCCTTGATATACATCGAATATTATTTGGGTACAACATAACGGTGAAAATATTGTTCAGTGGTAACATAAGTAATTAATAATGTTAATAATTTTTAGTTTTGTGTTTTTACATAAATTTATTTGCAATAAAATAACGTTCTTTTTTGCTCTCTTTGCTATGTTTTTTTTTTTATATATTTTTGTTTACACTTTTATTCATTATAATTTTTTTGTTGTTCTATGTATGTTTTCAATTATTAATAATATTTATTGTAGAATTCCTTAAATATGTCTCCATTTGTTTGAATAAATAAAAATATTAATATAAAAATGTGTTAATAACTTTTCGATGAGTGTATAGGTGTGTTTTTTTTTTTAGAACCCAAATTACAGATCCTTCGTCATTGTGGAAGTCTGTACACGAACACTAGACAATTTTTTGTCATAGACTGTAGCTACCATTACGAACTCTAATTACGAAATTTGAAACAACTCCGGTAAATAATGTCCCTAAAATCGTCAAAATATCGAATATCGTGGGGTTCCGTTGTAAGTGGGCTATACGATATATATAGACATTTCTCTTCCAGGGGGTAAAGTGCTTAGAAAAAGCTTCTAGTATGTATTTATAGAAAATTCCAGTGACAAATGTAGCTAAAATCATCAAAATACCGAATCTTCCTATATTCTTTATTCTTTATATTTGGATATACGATATCGTGGATCTATATAGAGAATACTCCTTCAGGGGGTAAAGTATTTAGAACTAACTCCTTTTGCGGATTTTTAAAGAATTTCATTGGAAAATTTGCCTACAATAATCAAAATACTTACGTTACTTACGTTGATCAAGAATATGTATACTTTGTTATTTCTAAAATATTATTTCGATGAGTTATAAACCAAATGACGAACTTAATATACCCTCCATACTATGTATGGTGGAGGGTATACAAATTATTTCAACACTGATTTGTTGATGATTTAAAGAACTAGGAGATATTGGACTGGTGTAAAAGATCTTGTTGTCCATTGTGTTATTTCAGTCAAATGAAGCATATTTTCAGGCGTTTTCTTACTTACCTCACCTCCAACTTGGCTAGGAATATAAAACAATAGTTTTTCGATCTACATTCTACAATTCAATGTTTATTTTTGTTATTTTACATAAATACATATATAGTTTTGAGTGCATATATGCATGTATACGACGAGTACGTACGAGTATATCATCCTTTTTGTATATATATTTATTATTTCAATTTGTATATTGTATCAATGTCGTTTTCTTTTTAAACAAATGCCAATAATTTGCGGGATTTCCTTAAAATGTTTTGTGTTGTTGTCGCTTTTTTTAAGTTTTTGTTTTACTTCGATTAAGTTTATTTGTAAAATCGTTTTTTTTTTCATTATTGGAAATAAAAATATAACGTTTACGTTTTTTGTATAATACATTTTGATTTCGAAAGGCATGGGATTGTGGAATGATATGAGTTTTGGGATTACATGAGGCTGGGATTTTTAATGTTTCGTTTTGCATAACAAATATTTACAACTAGTAAGTTAATATTTTCAAATAAAAAGTATTTTTTTATTTTATTTATTTTAAAACAATGTGTCCAAAGAACATTTTCTGTGCTGGTGTGTAAATGTATTTTTTTTATAATTAATTGAAATGAAACCATAATTTTTATGTAAGGGTTTTTATTTCGTTATATAAATGGGTTAAATATAAAAAATAAAAAGAAAATTCTCGTTTTATTGAGTCAAAAAGATGCAA